CGACAATCTATTTATTTAGCATGTCCATGTTAGGAAAACACGGGGTATGCCCGCTTCTGTTGTTATGGCGTAATAAATGGAACACGTCCTTGCTTATTTGACATCAGATTTGTGTCGCTTGCTTGTAATTAGTGAATTAAAATTAAGGAGGCTGAACTTCCCATTCTAGTTTTAATCTTGTACTTTTTTCGGTGCATACCAGGGATTCCCTTAATAACGGGTCGGGGACGGAAAATATCTGGCACGAGTTTGCGAGTTTATTTGTTTACTTGTCCTAACGAGTGACTTGGGGACTCATTAATTCGGTTCTTCAAGATACTGTATAAGTTTAAAGCATTAACTTGATGTATTTCATGATGCTTACACGATATTTTGTACAGACTGCCTTTACAAGCTGGACCAAAGGGTTTCAAACATGTGATTCTTTACTTAAATAGTGTTTCAAACGCCTTGACTGGCCTTGGCCAAACTATCAATGTGTCGCGATATTCGGCGCTTTCACTTGTAAAATGGATAATTAGCAACATAAGAGTGGCACGCAAGAGGGAGTGGGGGGGGGGTTCACACCTTTTGTTCGTTGATTAGTACTGAATGATAGATAATTAGCAACATAAGAGTGGTATGCACCGAAAAAAGTACAAGATTAAAACTAGAATGGGGAGTTCAGCCTCCTTAATTTTTATTCACTAATTACAAGCAAGCGACACAAATCTGATGTAAAATAAGCAAGGACGTGTTCCATTTTTTACGCTATAACAACAGAAGCGGGCATACCCCGTGTTTTCCTAACATGGACATGCTAAATAAATAGATTGTCGCGTAAAAATAGTCCACAGTTACCCGGGTATTATGGTCTTTCTCGGTTTGAAAAATGGTTTATCTGATAATAATCACATCATACAATAAGGTAATAGGCCTGTATTGTTTACAATACACATTCGCGCGCTTGCCCCACAAATGATTAGCCCATTTAATGGAGAAGACCTACAAGTACACTTACCTTTTACATATTCTGTCAACTCACATGATTCCCGATCTTGTGTAATCACGAATCACATTAATTTACATTTATTTCACATGTCAAAAATGTGATTTGATGTCACATTTTTTCACATTTTGCGTTTTCGTGAACATCACATAAATTTTACATTTCGCGGAATGCCAGATGTCTTCACATCTTTTCACATTTTGTAGTCAAACCCATTTCACATAACTTTCACATAAAGACACATTTTTAAAAATGTGACTCAGGTTAACATTGTTTCACATTTTCACTGAGAGTACGTTTCACATAAAAATCACATAGGCATCGGCGGAAAAAGAACATACAGGCAGTCACATAATTTCACATAATGGGAGGAGATCCAACATCACATTTAGATAACATCTTTTCACATTTGAAAATGTGATTTTTCTGGACCGTTCACTGCAAATGTGAAAAAAATGTGACGCAAAATAATAACATTTTTTCACATAAAGGTGTCGCGCTTCAGAAATGTTATTTTATATGATTTTCTGTGAACTTATGTGATAAAATGTGATGCTGTTGAACCTCAAAAAAATTCACATTACATCACATTTTTTCACATTTCCTTGAAATTTTGCACGAAATTCACATAATTTTCACATTTATGCACCTGGTAGTGTAAGGAGCAAGGATGTTGTATTTTTTTGCTGTGGAGTATAATTTTGGAATACTAATGGGTTAAGCCAATGTACTATGTAAAGAAAAGAATAAAAAATATACTTTTTGTATTGTCAAAAAACTACATAGAGTGACTTTAATATCAAAGACAGGCAAGCTTGAAATACCGATGAAAAGCTTTGGATCAGCGGTGCGTTTGACGACAACGTTGGTGACCAAAAGCACGTGGAGAAATTCCATTTCCTGTCGGTCAGAGACACTGGTTAAGTTGGCGCCGTACTCGCGACACTTGAGGTCTGATTCAACCCAGTTCAGCGGTACGGTCTGTCGGAAGGTCTGGTAGCAGTTTCGGCGGAACAAATGCCATCCGCACGGGCAAATGAACCCTAGTTCATCAGGCATATGATAAATGAGTTGTGAAACCGCAAAGATTTTTTTCTAGTCATTGAAACATTCAAGCCTCATTGTACTCGTTGATTGGAATTAGTTTTATGTGGCACACAGGAGCAAACAAGAATGTATAAACATTGGTTTCTCGATTAAATATGACATGTTAAGTGTTGTTAAAATAGACATAATGCTCACCTGCATCGTCAGGAAGATTGTGCACCTGGCGGCTGGGGCTAAAAGTGCTGATGTTGAACGTTGCCATAAAGCCGCGACTGCCGCCGATATCAGCGCTGTTACTCGTCGCCAACATGGCCAACTGCATGTCATTGGAGCTGGAAACATAGACCTTCTGCTCGTCCTCCCCACGACAAAGCCCGTGTATCGTGTTCCACCCTACCGTCAGGAACCTGTCCCTGACCTGCAGCACACGACTTGTGCAGACGCCACTCGAGTAGCCCGGCAAATCAACGTCCAGCAGCAGAAGGGTGACGAAACTTCCCTTCGGACCATCGATGGTCCACAGGCAGATAGCTGAAGGCGGGAAGGCGGCTGGGTAGCCGGGAGAGTAGATCAGTCCGCAGCGGTAGTCATCGGGAAGACCGCATCTGATGTTCCCACAGCTTGTCTCCCGAGCCATACAATCATCGCAGACTCAAAAAAGGGTTAAACAATAGGTGAAACATTTCTGTCAAAAACCCAAAACTTTAAAAACGTCCGTCAAGTATTTTTTGTTAAAGATATTGTATTGTCATTCAGCAAAAAGTTACGGAATGGAATAAAATTTTTGTTCAAATACCTGTCATGTCCGGAACGTTTGCATTAAGGTCGCCTTTTTGAGTTTCTGCCAAGTCATGATCACCATCGACACATTGTGTTGTGTTATTTGTATTGTCTCCACTGTGTGACGATGGATCTATGACAGGCAAGCAAGAAAGCAACAAATTACCGGTGTCTACTTCAACTTCAAACTTTCCCTAGCGACCACCTCTGCACACAGGCCATCCGGCAATAACGACCGCTTTTTCCCGGTCCCGAGTTTCCCTATATCAATGTAAGCATTAATTAAGTTTAAGGCATTTGCCTGAGCCGACCAGTTGTCCGACACGACCGCGACCGGCACTATCTGGGACCGCACACGGCCAAATCTCTACCTATGACGACCGCGTCATTTTCAAGCGTGTGGCAAAAAAGAATTAGGATGACAACTAGCGACAAATTTTGATGGAATCGGCCAGTTTGCCATTGATTTCCACAACATGGCAGTATTTGCTCAATTAAATATGGGTGGAAATTTTGCTGTAAGTTTTCTTGTTCTGTTTCTGTTCTTGCCATGTTTTTTTATATTAGAAGACCATGTGTCTTAGAAGTCTACTTTGCCCACGCATACGTGGTCGTCAAGTGTAAGTGTATATGTAGATAAAAAATTATATATATTATTTTTAGATATAATATAGTATATATCCGGCTAGCCAATATATGTTGAATTGTGACCTACCTTTCTCGCAAATGAATTCCTTCTCGAGGAGGCTACATGGGTGGAGGCTCCATGGACCTGCAGATTTACGAAACAAAACCAAATTTTGGTTAGAACATTAGATTTTTTTTATTATGGGTTCACCACACCACGAAGTGGTGGTGAACCCATATTGCTTTTTCTGATGTTTCTCCTCCTGCCATTTTTTAAATGGATTCAGCTTCTTTTAGGGCCCAAGGTCCTGAAATTTGGTATGGAGGTACAGTGGGCAAATACCCCTAGGCGTTTTTTAAATTATTGTGATACAGGCTTTTAGAATGGTTTTATTTGAGTTTTTTGGCTGTGTTATAGTCAAATGTATTACTGTGTTAGTGT